TTAAATCAGAACTCCTCACACGCTTGGTCTAATGGGGCGTACCCTGGACTAACGGGGCGATAGTAAAATTAATTCAGGACTCCTCACACCCTTGGACCACTGGACTAATGGGGCGATGACAATATCAAATCTGAATTCCTCACACCTTTGGACTAATGGGGTGATCCTGGGACAAATGGGGCGATGAACAATGAGAAAAGCCACCGGGAAGCCTACTTGAAAAAGCGCGTTTGCTGTAAAAGGGCCCGGAAAAGGCCCGAACGCATTATACAACGCACAAACAACTCAGACCCAAAATAACAAGCAAGTGGACCGAGCAGGAGAAACGGAGGTGGACTTTATTCAAAAATCGCACGAAACCACAGTTTCAGTAGGGTGAAGTGGAGAAAATCACGCCGTCATAAACGCGATCGTTACCTACTAGTAGTAGCAGTAGGAGTAGCAGTAGCAGTAGCAGTAGATACCACTGCGCCCTCAGGCGTCCAGGTCACCAACACAGCCAAAGGTCAAGCATCAAGGGTTGGACATTCGGGCTATGTGCCGGGAAGTTTTGCAAGGCCATAACTGTCTCTTTCGTGACCCTCAGGGGTCTCTCTGTGCTCCTAAAATAGTAGAATGCTTAGTATAGAGATGCCCACGCATCACCAAAGCCCCGTAAATTACAAAGGCTCCCATCCTGGGGTGTCTTAGGATCATGACCCCTTCAGAGAAATGAACCAAGTAATTGATGTAGATGGTCTGGACCAAGAGAACATGGCAAGGCGACATGCCGGCTGGGCATATGATGCGTACTTTCACAGGTCCTCGAGACCTTTTATAGGGGTTGTTCGGTTGCTCCATTTGTTCCCAAATAGAAGATCTCGCATCCTTGGGGAATAATGCCCAAGCCTCACCCCTGAGAACTGCAATTACAATTGCCCTGAGAGCTACTGGTGTGATGAGGGTTCCAAAGCATACAGAGAGCCTGGACATCGTTCTTGCTGTCCCTACTAGCAAGACATGCCCTGTTTGGCAGATCTTGATTTCCTGCTTACAAGTCATATGATTTGCCCATGTGCTTAGGGTTTCCCACTTTGCCTTCAATTCTTGCGGCGCCTTGTGTAGGGCTGAGAATAGGGCGAAGACCATCTGTGTCCGCCGCCTAACCCCCCACGCCTGAAGAGTGCCACAGCCAACTCGGCGTAGGAAAAAAATGCTAGCAGAAGCAGGTAGTTGACAGGCTCCGGCAAATGAAAGATGCCTGGACAGAATGTCGCATATGGAAAGTCTGCCACCCATTATAAGACTTCAAGTGAGTGACCAACAAGAAGTTGCGTGTAGTCTCAGGTGTGGAAGATTCCGGAGTACCTGACGGGACGAGCCCACTGTCCAAATTGGATCTTTAGTGTATTATGTACAGTTCTGACATAATTGATACCTTCATGACTAGTATTGTTGACAACAAGAATACAGCTTGTTACTGCTACTATTCAAATCAGCGTATTACAGTAGTACTCGCTTGCTATTACTATTTCTCCGACTAATGTTGTCATTATTCCAACGTTTGGTCTTCAGCGTTCACTCAGGGCTTGAGGTCGGTGAATGTTTAGCTGTGTTAAGGGTGCTTTGAAAAGTTGCTAGCTTGCCACATTTGCATGCAGAGCTATTGCAAGGAAGTTGCATACTGGAGATTCCAGGCTTTAGTGGTAGTAAGGTTGTGAACTTGTCATTGGACTGATTTGAGCAGTGGCCCTAGCCCCAGCCATTCCTACAGTTACATAGCTACAGTGTTGCAAATCTTGGGGCATTGCTAGGCCCGTTCAATCCTGCCGGTGTCTGCATCCTACTGGAGTGTGTGTAGATTAGAAAGGAGATCCAGGACACCTGTAGCACGTCTTTGGGCACCAGCGGAGAAGGCCAAAATGATCAGTAACGGCTAGCAGATATCCTAATACAAGTTAGATCGTGCCCAGCCCTTCAGCTGGAGTACTCGGCCTTGGATGCAGTTCGAGTCACGATTTTTGCGTCTGCACGTCCAACCTTACAGTACCTACTAAACATCAACCCAACGTACACAGCTTCCCCGGCAGCTTTCAAAGCGACATGGTTGTGTCCCAAGGTCTGACTTGGTGGGGTCTGAAATGGCGGATGAAGAAAATCTTGCACCACTTGTAGAACTCTATGATTCTGTCATTCCTTCCTTGGCCACAGGATATCGAAGGCGGCGAATATTCAATTTCCTCCATCTTTAGACTGCATCTTGATGCTGTTAAATACGCGGGGCCGTCGCTCCGAAACAGACACCATATCTGCCTTTCAACCCACGTGACTGAGGCCCAACTCCTAAGCTGTTGACCCAACTATTACATCTGGGCCCACATACCTGACTATCAGCAAAGTTTCTGCACTCGGCCGCGTCTTAGGTTGTGTTGCGAATCCGCCTCGTCCTTGGCTTCCGGTGCATATGGGGCGAGGGTGGTATGGGGGATGGCAAGCAGCATGATACGTATCTAGGAATTTGAAAGGATTGTATGGAGATTCTGTACTGTACGCACGATACGGACACCCCTTGAAATTGATGAAATCGGCACCCTTTTGGTGTGAAATCCCTAGTAACTCTAGCATGCTTTGGGATTCTCACTTAAGCTTTGAGGCTAGGCTGGCTTCGATTTGAGTGATACGTACACGGAATCTCGTTGGTACTGTTGGTCTAGACTAAACAAGGCTAGACCGTTGGTTTTTCACCGTGGAAAACACCGTGATGTTGGCATTTAGCGCCCCTGAGCAGCAAGAACATGAGCAGATATTCATTTCAGGGCAGGTGAAACTCGGACCGAGTGTCAAGCCTTACATGCTTAATTGAGATGCTAGGTTCATGGAACTTTCAGGCTAAAACTGTAGCTAGGGTCACATGAGTGCTTGGTGTACATAGGAGCCGGAGTCTAACTAGCTAAGATTGCTGCCCAAGGTTACAACATCAGTACCGGTGACTTTGGCATTGGCTCTCTGGCCAACCCCAAGGAGGAGGGTGCTGAGCTCACAGGAGCAGTAGGGAAGGGGTGGTTTGGGGGTCCTGAAGAAAACGGAGAGTCTTGCAACATCCTCTTTTAAGGGCACCGAGAACTGGATCATGATTTTGACAAAGCCCTGCATGAGCCCCCATCTATCCTGAAAAGCAGGGCAACAAAGATATTGGCTGCGCAACTTGTACTTTGAAATGAATTATAATCATGTCTCTTTCCAGGAACCCGCGCCGACGAATTCTTCATGGACAGCAAGTTTAATGATCCCAACCCAGGGGACCGACGGCGAAGGAGCGGCTAAGGCATTGGGAGGTCCAGGGTCGAGAGTGTTGGGGCTTTTGTCAGGGAAGAATCCTCTGGCAGTAATGTAAGAAGCCCACCACTCAAGATATTGGATCTTCTAGGACCAAAGGCAATTGGGGTGTTGAGGGAGCGATGAACAATTGACTTGTCCCCCTTCCAAAGTCGCTTGGTTCTGACGGCTGATGGGGCTCTGTGTGGGGCCATTATCGGAAATAGTCCATCAGCTCCATTTACTACGCCCCTCGTGACAGCTATAGTGACTAACTACCAACGTTTGATGTGCATATAACCAGACGTGTAACTGCCAACAGACTAGCTTCCAAGCACGGCAAGCATACCTACACAAAGCCAGAACTGCTAGCAGGACCTTCGCTGGCAGACCTGCTGTACCCATTCCTTTGGCACAGGCCTGCGATGGCCTGCGTTTGTTGCTCTATCGCCAATAATGTATTGAAATTACGGCCAGAATCATTTTAGGCTGACAGTTGGGATTGGCGAGGAATAGAGTTGAGTTAGAAACCCTTCGCTAAAGTTGAACTTTTGAACATGTTTGCGTGCTAGAACTGTGTCCGTTCCCAATTTATGTGGCTTACAGTATTCCTGGGCGCCGATGCTGCAATAGTATTCTTGTGGCGGCATGCCAGCTAAGGGCCCATGCGAAGTTACAGGCTTGGGTACCGAATCTACACTGGCTTTGGTTCATTCAGGGTGTGAGGCCTTAAAGCTGTCTGGTGCTCAGTCGTTACAGGTTGTAAACGGACGACAGGCGTCTTATGCGTGTAAAGGGGTTGAGGGTGGCTTGGGCGACTTCTATGATCCTTCAGGCAGTTATGGGATGTGCAGCACATGGAGTGGTAGAAATGGGGTCCCGAAGGTTTACTACCTGCATACGTAGGTTCGTAAGCGAGACTCCACTCGGTACCTCTTGCTTCCAGAGCAAGACTCCCAGGTTTCTGACATGCTTAGTCCAAGGACTAGTAGCTACCCTCTATGAGAAGTTGTTCCAGCCGCACCCCTACAACATGGGCATGAAACGAGACCCACATTTGTGTTTTCTCTTCTTCAAGTCATTGACGCGACAACTGCTGTTTGGTGACTGACAGGCAGCCTTGTCATAAGGGTCCCGCACAAAAACAGCTATTCGGATCAGAAGGCATCTGGTATGTATAGGCAGGGAGGTAAGCAACTAATTTGGGAAGGAAGGAAGAGGTTAGACTGGTCATGCACTAGTACTCGCTGTAATAGCAGAGGCTGCACCCAGTCAGCACAAGCCTAGAAGCGCTTGTTCTGTCAGGGCAGGTATCATTGATCCTTGAGGCTTAACGATTTGCTACCGATATTCAGCACATGCAGTATAAGAGAAGCAGCCACATAAGACTCCACAGGATCCCGTGGCAGACTGGCTGAAGCTCGGAGAGACAAGTGCAGATCTAAGCCGCAGCTTGGCTTAATTGTTGAAACCGTTACCTCATAGCCTGTACATAGTCGTAAGTTACGTAAGATATGCTAATCATCAACCGCACTTCGAGCTGGACTCGACTCACACCGTTTTGGCCAACACAGCGGCGCGGAGTTGGGATCCAGGGCGTTGAGAGCGCTGGCCTACGGATTGACACGGGTTTGGGGAGAAAAGTTATCAGGGCTCAGGATTGAAGGCGTCATGATGAGCCGCTGTGAGACAAGGGTTCGGGTCTTGATGAATGACTTGGGGTTGGAGAGCTTTGTCAGCTTAGGTAATCTCTAATCCATGAAGCCTAGGATTGCTGCAGATTCAAGTCAACACCAACCAGTACGGCCGAACTTTCGAAGACCGAACGCACAGCTTCATGGTTATGGAGAGGCCGGGCACGTCCCACGTCTGCTAGCTTGCATGCTGCATCGTGAAGATTTTGTCAGCTTGTCTGAATGATTTGGTTCGCCCGCGTCTGATGGACATCAAAGCCTGGAAAGCTTAGTTCACACCTTGCACCTTAATGAAGCCAACCAAGCCAACATCCCCTTGCGGGAAGACTATCTCAGCTGAATTCAAATGCTGCCTGAAATAGGAGAGCTTTTCTCACTAAGCTCATGGTATTCATATATGCGTATGTAGATATATATATATATGTATATACATACATATATATATTGTTCATAATAAGAGGATTTGGGGGTATCATGAGAAAGGTAATGGACAATTATATGGAAGATGGGATAGCAATTAATGGTCTTCCGCAGCTGGAGGCCGGCAGATGTGCCGATGAGCAAGAGAATCGTGAACTACAATGTGCGTGCCTTGACTTGCATGCTATGACGCAAACCTCACACCCTAAACAGTTTCAGTTGGGTTCGGGGTGAGGTGAGGTGTAGGGGGAAGGTCTACGTAACCAAGCAAGGAGTGAACTGATCCGGGCTTCAAGTACCCTCAATTTAGACATTTCTGCAGTGGCTATCTCGGGCGCACGGTCCTTCTGTATTTCGATTGTCGCAGGCAAAACTGAGCAGGATCTGAAAACACGAGATTGCTAGTGTTGGCTCCGGGCTAGATTGCTGGTACGAACATTTAGTTACAAGGAATGTGGACCCAGGAGACTTCGATGCTTTTGCTTTTTTGCGGCTTTGTATGCATCCAAATCCTGCAAGGTTCTGTCTAGCTACGCCCCCTGCAGCCACCCGACAAAAAGATATTGAATGAGATTGAATGGGCGAAGTTATTTTCAAGAAGTCTTCTCATCTCTGTTGCCTTACTGGCCAAACGACAAACCGTAAGCCTCTGCAGATGATCGCTCAAGGCGGCCGTCGTGGAAACATTGTGCAGGCTGCTCCCAGATGTTGGTTCTTAGGATTCCTAAATCAGGGACCCAGATACGCATGAACCTTGACGTGTTTTCTTGGGCCTTACAGATCGGTGCAGTCTTTGGAGATTCCTACACCGAATCCGGACCTTTTGATGACAGGCCGCGAGGCCGAAATTCCGGGCCCATGCAAACAAAGCGTGCTTGCAGCGAGAGTGAAGCTTTGACGATATCTGCTCACTGTCACGACGTGTTGCCTGGGGGGTACATCAGGAAGCCTATGCAAACATTCATGAGATGAAGGGAGGCTTTTTACAGACGTGTAAGACATGTTGCACTATGTCACCACCATCCTTAATTAAAGAAGCGTGTGTGTGTGTGTATATATATATATCATGCCTCGGAGATGGGGACGAATCGGTCATGCATCCTTTTTCTTGAGGTCAGTACTGTTCATGGACACATCCTGCATGACTGTACGGACAGGATTTGTTCTCTAGTTAGCAACAAAAGTCTGGAGGCCAGCCAAAGTGATCGCGAGCATGTCAAAGTACGCATGTATAGTATATGTGCACGCACACACACAGTAGGAAAGCGTAGAAGCGAGTGTCAGATGCTGCGCGGCAAACCCCATATGAGCCACGAACTAAAGTTCCGTCTCTTTAAGCATGCTTTACGTCGGTTGAAATCATGCGTTTAGTCTGGAAAGCTGGTCCTCTGCAAATAGCAAGATCAGCATTTTGGTGTTTAGAAGCAAATTTGTTGAGAAACGAGAGTCAAGGCCCGACCACATAGTAGTAGACTCAGTCAGTTGGTCTCAGGCCTAGTAGGAGTGAGATGGTACCCCACATGCTCCCGAGTTTCTAAAGCGGGATGGAACGAGATTGCAGCACGAGTATGAAACTTTTGACCATAGGCCAGACAAGAAGTTTTGTCCGCTGCTCATGTGGAAGCGCATGATCCCAAGTTAATATGCGGGCTGACACTGAAAATCCCTAAGCATACATTTTACGCAACATGAGAACATTCACTCCTTGTGTGGGCCACTTAGTTTGGTTACTTCAGAGTGGAGGGCCTTGTGAGTACAGTGGACAGCAAATCACAGTCCAAATCCTTGTCTTGACTTGGTTCACATCCTTGTTCTTGACTTTAGTGTACAGACCCGCCATTACAAGTCATAGTGTAAAGCCATCCGGCAGGTCTATCCTTCCGTGGAGTATGATTTCATCCCGCCTGAACTGGAGGTTGAGCAAGCTGGTCCGACATTTGGAGGGTTCAAGGTTGAGTGTGAGGGGGTGACGTCCACCTCGCACAGAAACCACAGGAGCCTTAAGCAAACACTCACCTTCTCTAGATGGCCACCAAACCTCTAGTCGAGCTGGTGACCGGAAGAGTTTGAATTCAGAATCCATTGCGAGCACCTTGACACCGCGCAAAGGGGAGTATGGCAATTAATTCTGTCATATAGCATAGTGTCAATATCAGGCTTGCCAGGGGACCATTCAGGGCGGACAAAGGGGTCCCCGGTAAGGAAATATATAGTGACTGTAGCTCACGTGCAGTTTTTGTCCATAAACTTGCTCAGTGAATTAACAGGGCTAGGTTGATGCACGTATGGCACAAGGTTGAGGGTTGACGTGTTCTCTGCGACTATGTTCTTCGAGAGTATGTGACCCCCACACGAATGTTTGCAAAATGTTCCTAGACAAAAAAGGCTCAGGGGGGCGGAACCCCGCAATTTACAGAATGTATAGGCGCATAAACGCTGCTTGAGCTGTTGGGCAGTTGAGGAAGTGTTTGTGATTGCGTCCTTCCAAACAAAGCTCACGTGCCCCCTGCGACAGCAGCAGTCAGCACCCTCCTCAAGGATGGCGCACACTCAATCGCAACCCCGAAGCCTCGGCCCAGCTCTCCGATCAGATCTGTGGTCCCACTTCGGTACGTGTATTGTCTCAGCACTTGCAGTAAAAATCATAAATCTGAAATTGCAATGGACTTAGAAAGCAACCCCCCACGCCAATCTTTGACTTTACAGCCTGCAAGCCCAAAAACCCTTTCACCCCGGACAGTGACGTTCTCAAAACTCAAGTTGACATTCCGCACAAACCTTAGCCTGAAGCCCTGCGACCTTTGATCCTGCATAGCTAAAGAATGCTAAAGACTTTAGGTGCTGCAGGGTCCGTGGTGCTAGGGTCTAGATTTCACTTGCAGCTGCGACCCAGGCAGGGAACCCTCCTGCACTTCCAGTGGACGGGATCAGATGCTAACAACAATGGAAATGCAGGCAGCGCCCTTTCATACCAGGTTTTAGAAATTGATGTTGTGGGTCGAACTTGTGAGACAAGATCGGCAGGCTTGAGGTTGAGACTATCTTGCATGTAATCGGCAAGGCAGTTCAGATCCCTCGCTAAACTGGGGGAAGCGACAAAAAGTAGAAGAAGGGAAGGGGCAGCAAGAGGACAGTAAAGAGGAATAAACAGACGGAGAGGAGCTGCAACTCCAGCTGTGGCAGCTTTTGCTGTATTCCGTGCAATCATTTTTATGTATGTGCTGTATCGCGTTTCGTTAGTGCTCACATGTGAAGCAACCATTACTGATAATCATTGCATTTAATTTGTGTCGTCGAGTTGAGTTTCTCTCCGATGCTGGTTGAAGGCATCATCCAGACTCTACACGAAGACCATGATTCCCTTCTTAGGTTCCTCGCGAAAACTACAGGTCCAACTTTTTGTTGTGGCATGGATTGTCGCAATGCGGGCCAGGCCCGAGAGGGGGGCGGGGCTCTAGAAGGCACAGCACCACTCCGTAGGGTTTGTCCGGAAAACTCAACGTTGTGTTTAGCTTAAGGTGCTTCCGAGGCGCTACAAAAGGTTTCAGAAACACAAAAGTTTGGTTAAATCTCAAAACACAGTATGTATCCTGTTGACCTGGTGGTTATGTTTCAGCCCTGCTAGAAGGATCCCCGACAAGGGGTCATAATTCTGAGAAGCCCTAAAACCTAATTACTTATCAATATGACCTTTCTGTTGATCGTTCGATCTTTGCATCTATGTATGTGTATTTGCCAATACACATACGAATCTCTGTGTATATATTGGTACGCATTTACATAAACATGAGGAACGCACACCTGCTTACCTTGATATAACCTTCAGATCACAAAGGAGCTCAAGCTGTGAACCTAGGGCCTAAGCCCGAAACCCACGTTGAAGGCAACGGCCGAGCTGGAACGGACCGGTCAAATCTGGTGCAGGTTTCTCTCGGGTTCAGGGCTTCGGGTCAAGAACTTGGGGTTTATAAGGCTTACAGCCCTCAAGAGGTCTAGCCATTTTGTTGCCTTACCCTGCCACTCGTTTTGCTTAGGGCTCGTTTTCGAGTGCTTTCGAGGAACGAAGCTCGGGACATGTGGATTTTTTGGGGGTCATACGTGTATGTGATTGTGTATGTGTATCTATATGCACAGTGCCAAGGCTTAGAAGTATCCTGATCGTCAGGCTTCAACGAATGTGCCAGGGACCAGGGATTTGACTTGGATGGTTGATGCAGTTGCCTGCTGTCCTTGTCACAAAGCCCAGTTTCTGGAGTATGCAGGCTATTCACATACAGCATTCTCGGCAGGTTTTGTAATCATTGCCGTTTGCATGAGCATTTGATCAACAGGCCTGCTCAGGCTTCACTGCTAATTGCAGCAGAGTGCATTCAGAGGAATTCTTGAGTGCCCTGGGGGCTCGAGCTCTAGGCTCATGCTCTGTAGACTGGAGCGGCAACGGCGGCAACGCCTAGATAAGGGCGTGCTGAATTTGTGTGCAGGTTACTTCCACATCGCAGAAGCAAATTCAAATTTCGTCCGCACATATGTGTACCCACATGCACCAATAAACAGATACAGCGATCAACTGCTTCCGCCTGAAGCATTGAAGAGTTCCTCCACGACCGTAAGTGGCCCCTGCACCTTCTAGAGTGACACTTGCAATGTGGCAGCAACCTGTTATTGATTCAGCGATCTTCCTGTAGAGCATAGGCGAACTGTGGTGTGGGTGTGGCAGCTGCTTATGGGGATGCCGTGCACTCACTACTGTACTTTGAGGAGAGTATGCCCTGTCCTGGTATCTGCGACCTGCGTAGTACTGCCTTCAAACTTCCCGACATAGCCTTTTTTGATTCAAGCTACAGGTGCAGTCCCGCTCCGAAACAGTCCCGTTGCCATTGGAGAAGCTGCCTAGCAGCAAATTTCTTGATAATTATAGGCCTCGTTTAAAAGGGGTTTTAAGGTTTCCCAGGATTGGATATGGATCGTCTAAGGTATCAGGCCAGCATACCCCTTGCCTCATTTCTACAAGTCAGGATGTAAAGGTTTGAATGCTGGTGGCGGGGCGTTTGGGGTTTACCAAGACCTTGACAGGATCCAGAAACAGAACTCCTGACACTTTGAATACATGTCCTATAACGGTCAAGTGTCCAAGTATTTTTTCACCTAGTGTTCTTGCGCTTGGACCCTTGTGGCTGTAGGGCAATACTACTCCGTGGTCTACCAGTTGACTAGGCCTCAAACACCCAAAGCCCAAAGCCACCCTTTTGGTTTAGATTCTGTAGGGTACAGCCAAGAAGTGCTCACAACTGCCCGGTCGCTTCTTAGAGCTTGGAGGGTAGTAGACAAGGTTGGGCACTTGTGAGAGGTCGCCACGTGTGCCGTCCCCTTCCTTGTGGTGTTGCGTATTCGGTGCATTAAAGGCCCTAGGCTGCCAAGGGCAAGAAAGTTTGCACCTCGCGAAATTTCAGATTGGGATCGGAAGATTCATGCTGCATGATGGGAGAAACATGTGCTCGGCACTTTTCGTAAGATAAAGAACAGGGCCAGGCTATCAAGCTCAACCTGCTACTCATGAGTAGCAAGCGCTAGATCCAAACGCCTCAAAGTGTCACCCAGGGTTGTTTTAGTTTGCTCTCAGGCACACCTTGCTCTTCAATGCAGCAGAGAATCCGGGTGATCAGGCTCGCCACGAGCGGTTGCGAACCGCAGACTTCAAAAAGTCCAATGCCCCACATCATGAGCAGCTATCATCACGCCAGTCTTTTTCTGTAGCCATCTTGGCAAAAACCATTCACCCGACTTGAACAAGGCAAAGCAGTGTAAGCGTGTAGCTGATAACGTGGGCATCTTGTATGATGCAGCTCTTCCTGTGTGACTCAAATTTGAGTGTTGGCCTACAGTGGCAAGGACACAGCTAGGAGATCAAGTGTCTTGGTTCCAACTTCTGACCTGGAGTGAGGATACCTGGAGCGATTTTTTTGTGGAAAAGTAGGCAGGCCGCGTGAAGCGCAACAAGTAAGGCGGCAACCTGTCCTGAGGGCAGTTGAGTAGAGGTTTACAGCATGCAGCGCTGATGCTTTGGTTGGTGACTTGTATGCAATGCCACTATTTTCAACAAGCTGCACGTTGTTTGCTCATGAGAGTTTTACACTCTCTGGCATGCCTGTAAGGCATGGCATGCAGTTGGCTTGGTGGTGGTCATGTCAGAAAAACTACAGCCCTGTTCTCCTAGCGCTCCCCACTCAACTTACTCCGCTCAAAAGTGCCCTCAACTTTTGAGACTGCGACGCGACACCGTTGACTCTGAGCGCTCAAATCTGCACCTGTCCCTCTAAGCCCTGAATCCCAAATCCTATAGGCCTTGAACAAGTAGGCGTAAACATGCGCAGACTCTCTAGATTCATTTTTGAGGCAGGCCGAAAGCTTGTGGACCGCTTCGCTTACTTGGACCAGGCGGAAGATCAAAAGCCATACGAGATTTCAGGAAGGTTGAAGGTTTGGGGCTTAACTAGGATTTAGGAAAGTCCCTGAATAAGCAGTTAGACAGAGCTCAGGTTCCTCAGAGTGCATAAGAGTACATACCCTGGCCAATGCCTCCCAATCTTTGCCCGAGACCGCTGAGTCAGCAAGCACAGCGCTATCAAGAGTGTCATTGTTTCGAGGTTTCGGACCCTTGCAGGTTTTCGTGGGATGTTGGCGACAATGCTATCCTTCCTGGAAAAGGTGTTGGGATCAGCTGGCACGCTATAAAGCCACGGCGGATGCAAGCCAGGTGTTGACTAAAGGACAGTTATCAGAGCACAAGTGGAGACCTACAGCCTTAAACCCGCTGAACCCTTAAATCCTTGAACCGTAAAGCCTTGAGATGCTAAACCCAATGGGGGTATAGTCCAGCACTGCTTAGATTTGAGCGTGAAGCGTGGGATGCAGGAACACGATTATACCATGGTATAATGTATTCTATTAATTGTATTGCGTTATATTGGATTTTGAAATTGTCATCTACCGGAACCACAGAGAGTGGTGTGTTTCAGGAATAGCTTCTGATAACATTGCCCAAGCCATACAACTCGGGGCCCTCTAAGAACAGGCATCGGCGGGGGAGGTCTAGATGGGGTTGGACACCTTTTTGAGCATTTACAATGACGGGTCCCCCTCTAGAATTTGGAGTCTCGCGGTCGTACCTAGAGTTGCCTGAGATTCTTTGACATGTCAGAAATCTCAAGATACCTGGGATTGGGCTACCTTAGGCAAGGTAACCCTCAGTCGGGGTTGTCTGAAACGTTCATGTGCTGCAGGACGGCATTGTCACATGCTCCTTGGCAAGGTTTGCCTGATGCTGTTTTCCAAACTTCTGTCGACACGGCGTGCTTTTTATAAACATCTGGCAGAGGAATTTGAGATTCGGAGTTGAATGTAGAAACCTGAATGGTTAACCCCTTCTACGACCTCTGTTTCATGAAAGTACAATTTGCCCCGAAATCCTCGCTTCTAGTTCTCTAGGCCCCTGCGTTAGGGATCCAGCTTGCCCATGCAGCTTTTAGACAAAAGGTTTCTGGGGCACGTGATTGGGGAACGTGAAATCCTGAAGCTTTTCCTAGAAGTGATCGGTTCGGCCAGGCCAGAGTAAGGTCCGCTGTCTTAAGTCGTAAGCATGCAGTTGCAACATTCGAGGAAGTGACTAGCCTCATGGCTACATGGCAGCTGTTTTGCGTGGTCTCGTATCAAGGTGATCCAGACACCAACGACCAGAACTCAGAGTGCCTTGATTTTGTCAGAACGGTCTGGTCAGAATATTTCTTTCTTGAAGGGACTGGCCAAAATTAATCATGCTATGCTTTTCTTGGAAGACAAAGCTTCTGAGCCGTGTTCAGTGGTTTGCTTTTTCGCGGCTAGACTCTCTGACTCAATTCCGGGTGCCGGTAGGTATGGAATGGTTGAATGATTATCCATCAGCTGGTTGCGCACCACTTGCCGCGGCAAGCTGCCAGCCATAACTTGGAATTCCAAGAGCGCATGCTGAGAACAAGGGTCAAGGAGCAATAAATGGCAAACAGATAGTTATTCGCTAACAGGACCGTAGAGTCAATTGAGAAGATGATTTTTTGTGAGTATACAAGGTCTCAGTACCACTCATCGCAGAAACGGTGCGCCAACGACTGTATACATTTGCTAACTAAGCTAGCAAACTGGGAGATCAGATTACCTCAGTTTTACATAGGAAGCCACAAGCTCGTTGCAACAACGAGTTCTCAGCAATGGGTGTGGTCGAGTTGCAGTCCTTAGCTTTGGTTTACGGATTCCTGCATGGACTGAATGTATTAGCCATGCCGAACCTCCGAACCCCCAACATGCTGTCAGGGCTGAAGGCTTACAGTGTTCGCTCTGTGGAAACACACGGTGGCAAGCCCGCGGTACGACCAGCCATTCTTCCTTCATGAGAAGTTTCCTTTCCAGCTGAAAATGAGGGTTCCTCCTATGGGCTCACCTATGTTTGCTTCCAACCCACAGGTGCCCCGCGTGTACAGGCCCAGCTTACAACCCATGCAGCCCTGTTTGCGCGCAAATGACGGCCTTACCATGGAATCTGCATGAAAGAATGCCACGGGCCCATGCCTGTAATTCCCAAACCGTAAACGGAAATCCCACGTTAGTCCACGCAGGTCCTCGCCTTACATTGCACCTGTACTTACCAGTCCGGTCTCCCAAACCCTTGACTCTCAAACTTTGAGTCTGTGTTCCGTTTTGGAATTCAATTGCAAACCTGCATATACACATCAGTGGTGTTAACCGCTGCGCAAAATACTTTGTACCAGACTGCACCACGGAAAACCTCAAAGCCTTGTGAACCCTACCGCTGCAACCCTCAAACCCTCAAAGCTCTCAGACCCCGAAACCCAAACTCTAATGACGCCAACCGCAAACGTCAAGCCCCAAGGACCAACTGCAAGCAGCTCAATGGAGCCTCTGCATACTTTGACGGCGGCCTTGTGGAGATGAAGACGGTGGGAGCCTGCCTTGTAAGTTCTTAGGGACCCTTCAATGGTAATAAATCATAGTAGTAATCGGAGCAATAGTAGCAATAAAAATAGCACAAATACTATAATAGGAACAATCGTAAGAATGATAATATTAATCAGTTTGGCTGGACCTCTGCTCACTCTGTATGGCACCATCGTTGTCTTTGGGACCTCTCCTTTGTTGGTGTGGGGGTTGGGCATTAAGAGAAGGATGGACAGAGGACCTTAGCCCGCGTGTTTTTGATTGGAAAACGACAACACTGCCACCAGAAACAAACAAGTTTTCATAAATCGAATAAGTACGAAAACGGTAACACACTCACCGATTTCCAGTGACCGTGCGCGGAGACAAGAAAAACCGTACTTCTTTGCGGCTGACATGAGGTACTTTCAGGCATTTATGTACTTTTAGAAAGGAACGTGCATTCCTAAGGAGTTTTTTCTTAGGTGTAAGAAAAAAGAAAATCCCTTCATAGGAAATGGGAGACGGTCGAGCACAGTCACAAGGATCGTGGCCCAAAATGCCCGATCGCTGTGAGTGTTAGTGGATTTGACATTGTCTGCGGTAGAGAAAAGGGGTCGTCTGTAAAGGGGTTGTACACTTGCACGGTACAGGAAGAGCATTGAACCCCTTCAGGCATTTGCCTGGCTCAACTCATTTTCCAGGATGCGGTCTGCCAAGAAGTTGGAGTTGCTAAGCAAATCCGAGGCCTACAGTACGGTGCGGTTACGTCCTTGCGATTTATCTTGCATGTACGGGTCTCAAGTACGGCGTACTTATAAAAAGAAGACTGGACCTGCCCTTCAAAACCAGTCTGAGGCCGAAAGTGCGACATACTATGACGTACTTAAGGGATTCAACTGCCTTCTTTTGAACCAGTCGCTGGAGCAACGTTTTCCTGGTCAGAAAGATGGCTTTTCGGACGGAGGACGGGGGGGGGGGTCCGAGGCTGCAAGTGCGGCGTACTTGAGGGATCGGGGTGTTGCGCTGAAAGTCGATGAGTCAAGCGGGAGCCCCTACCTGGACGACTCCTGACTTCGGACTTCCGTGCATCACTGGGAGGGCTCTTCTGGGAGCTCTTCTTCCTTGTGACCTGTGGTAGCTGTATGCTGAATGGATCGGGGCGTTGCGCTCAAAGTCGCTGAGCCAAGGGGGACCCCCTACCTGGGCGAAATCCAGGTCAGTCCTAGATGCCAATTATGAGCTTAAATATATGCACAGTTGCAGACCCCTCGTTGCAAGCGCCCTTTGCCAACTTGTGGACCAAAGTGACGACAGTCAAGGAAGACGGCACCTTTCAGGTGCCCCATCACTGTGATTATCGGCACTGCACTTTTGAAATTCAAACGCGATGAAAACGGTGACGGTAATGGCGATTGCGCGCTTACTGCGGGGGGACATTCCAGATACGTGACCATATTAATGTGGGCCACTGGCCGCTGCAGCACTGTAGTAGACATAAGAACGCAAAAGTAGTAAACAAAAGGGCGGTCGTTGTCGCATCGATAGCCACCATCATAGCATTTTCGGGCTCTCTGCTACAAGGCTTGCAACATTATAGCCAGGTATTGCCACCCCAAGTTGGACCAGAGGGTCCAGAATACTTGTCTGCAAACTTCACTTTATTGTCCCCCATCGGGAATCAAAACGAGTCATATTAGTCGAATTTACAAGTCAATATGATTTAGTCCCGCCCCACATTAAACGAGGATGTGTCCTGACTTGAACCAAACACCGAGGCAGAGAATCCCTACAATGCCAGCTTAGGGTTTAATGAGCCTCAGGCAGTACAGCCGAGATCCTCCAAAACCCCACACCTCAAGTATCATTGCTATCAGCACTTCCTAGTCACAGCAGTATAGCAGATGCTATGCAACCCCCACGGAGCCAATGAGAATCGTTATACCTGGCCAAGTTCAGTTTCCCGCAACAGGTTGGCAGCCATCACATTGCCAGCACCAGGAACAATGTGCCTCAGCTTCTGTGGGCTAAAAACATGAATCGTAGGAATTCGGTGCCCCGTTATACACGCTTAGTATACCATACCTCTCATCACCAGCCGTTTTTGTCCTGTCAACTTCCTGGAAGGTTTCAGGGAGTGGTACATGCCTGCATTTGGAAAGCTCGATGCAAGCACAATCCCGTCCATAGTAGTAACATTATACAATGGTGGGATGCCTTTCTGTTGGTTTCTGGGAAAGGGAGTCTTAAGCAACCCTGCTGGTATATTGTGAACTACCAAGATAGTATGAGGCATCCCTATCACGGATACTAGGGATAGCCCTTTCAGGGACTACCTGCAAGAAAGCAGCCTCCGGACCTCCATACCAAAACATATCTAGGCGACTAGTGCTGGAAAAATAGGCGAAACTTGGCCTTACGGGCTAACCTGCATCAGCCTGTGAGCGCGTAGAAACAGTTGTAGCTCCGCACACAAAGGTAACTGCTTGCTTGTTGAGGGTGTAGCCTTCTGTAACCTGGGCCGCTTCGTCGAAACGACTCACACCTCTTCTGAGGACTTCACGAATCGTTCGCACAAGGCAAGTATCAAAGTGACAGGAGTCTGCACCCGCCAGGGTTGATCGAGAGCCTGACTTTCAGGGAAGGCCCCCTTGTTACGCGGTTTGGGTTTCAAAAGCTTTTGGGATTGGGAAGGTTTGAATGCCGTGAAAGAAAGATCCCCCCGCTACCATTTATGGACACTTTTTTGCGGGTGGGTTCATGTAAGGGTTTGTCAACTGGCAACTGGGTTTCCTGAGACATGCTTCTTGTAGCCCTGCCGTGTAGCTTTCGGACAGCGTATGACAACGACTTCATATTGGAGGGTGCTGGGAGATTCCGTCAGCTTCTATCCTCCTAGGTTTGAAGTTATTGAGTGGGCCGCACAGGGAATCCTGAAATTGCTGTATGGATTTTGCGGAAGAAAAGCGCACGTGCCCCCTGGATCGCAGCACCGATAATTTCCTGCAGGTTTCGTGATCGATTGAGACGCCCGGGCTAAGTAAATACGCGTGCCACCCTTGCATCGTTGCTGGAACCATGTGTCAGACTTATGTAGCCGAAGTTGGCAGACTTGGCACGCGGCCAATTCGGTTTAGGACTTATAGGTTGAGATTATGGAGCGTTTTTGTATTGTCCTATCGTCAACTTGTACGCAGCAATCTCTCTCTGACTGACTGTTGCCGCTTCCAAGCCCTGACTCCAGAAGGCGTTTTAATTATTTTCTAAATAGTGCACGCCGCCGTCGGTTCCTGGCCGTGGTAGGAGCCAGAACGAACACTATCCTGCTCTATATATACACATAGTAGGTGTGTATATAACAAATATATACATATATATATATATATGCATACATACGTATACGTATGTGTACGCATTTACGGGCCCATGTGCCTCTCAACCGCTCTGGATGATTTCCAGGAATTTCACTGGAGCTCTATGAGAACATTGCACTAGGAGTCGGTCTCCTGTTGCATTATTGTGTGGATGCCATGGATTGAGGTATGTTTGGGAGTTGGGTTTTCAGTCCAGATGTTGGGAAGAAGGTTGCACCGCCAGGGGGTTTAGAGCTTGAATCTTGGGGTTGGGATGTAGGCTTTATGATTTCTGGCTGCTCTAATCTTTAAAACCCCTGGTCTCAGCAGTTCTGGAAACTCTTCCAGGAGTCTCTGATCAGGCTGAGGGGTTGAAGACAGTTTTGGGCTTCACTAGGCTCCAGGGTCAAGGCCAGAGGCACAGACCTATTTCCAGTATTCCTACATCTCAAACCTCAAGCCTTAAATCCAGGTTTGAAAGCCTCAGAGAACCAGACTCACATTTGTAAAGCAATGGGTGTAAGCCGTGAATGCACGGCTGTTTGGCAGAGGCACGTTCTGTGGAGTGGTCCTCATTATCTACGTCGCTTGCGCCATCCACGCAGTCAGGCGGGGTGAGAGCACAGTTCAGAGCGTGAAGTTTGGGCTTATGGTTCAGGGATCTACCAAAAGTCAGGAGATGTCGACCTGTCGTGCGCTGCATAAGTAGCTGGCGTTCCAGGAGGACTCAGTGCCCCCTGCATGAAGAGCCAATGCCATGACCTCTGGTTGCTTCGCACCTGGAATTCTCCATGTACTCTCCATCATCCCACCCCGAATCATACGACCCCACCCCGCACCTCAGAAATTAGTATTGCCGAAATAACATAGTATAATATGTTACTGCGGGGTTAGGGAGTTCTCTTCCCCAAGCTCTACAAGTCCTAGACCCACTTTGGGGCGTCTCTTTGAAGGAAGCCTGGAAGTTGGCTCTTCTCCCGCCGCTATCGACCTCGCATACTGAATCTGGGAGGCACCTGTTTGCGGTTGAGGCTTCAGGATTCGTGTTCAGGATCTAGGTCCATGACTTACCTGAGCAGCCTTCGTCGCAAAAAAGGTAATGGGACGAGATGCCAATAATTTTCGCCATCTATTCCAAGAAACGCAACCACCATGGGAAAAATGCATCAAGCATTATGGCAACTCGAGCCATAAAACGCTATCAGCAGCACGCCAAAACGCTATCATCCGCGCCAAATCGCAATCCGTTTTTATCATCCAGGCGATCACTGGACTGCAAAGGAATTATCGGACATCACTGCACTGGCCGGGTGCAAGGCGATTTTGGCAATTTCCGCCACCTGGTCGGGAAATTTCCGCTATCTGGACCGCGAGGTGAGAAGGACCATTTGTGGCGTTTCCGCCATTTGGCTGAGGATTTTCAGCGTCTGGCCGGCAACTTGCGCCATCAGGTCTCGGTTGTTCCCGGAATTTCTGCCATCTGGCTGTAGGATGTCCGCCATCTGGGTGGGGTCTGGCTGGGTCGCTCCCGTTGGACAGCTAAGTCAAGACGACAATAGCTGTATGGCAACATGGCAACGTGAAAGTCAGCAAAAAAGCGCTATCCGCATGAATGCAAAAAGCCAACAGTCAGCACCAAATGCGCTCACAAAGAGAATCAGGCCCTTGCTGCCACCGGAATCTCAAAAAAAACCTCAAAACCAATTTCCACCTGCCCAAAACCAGAACTTCCTGAAACGCCAGAAATTGTGCTTCCTAGGTAGGGCGTCGCTTTAGTGATATAGGTGCTAGAAACCATACAGATGTTTCAGCGTGTCTGTCAATGGTTGAGGGTTTGGAGCTCAAATTTCGTGATACTTGGCTGGGTTTGGCATGTGCTGCAGGCGATAACGGAGGAATGTTGAGTTGACAGCTCGGGTCATGGTGGGGCTTTGTGTACAAGAGGGTTCAACACTTGAGGCATGTGAACTTGGTGTCTTTGTTGAAAGTGGTTTCTGAGTTTAGACATGCGGATTGAGGGATTGTACAGCAAAAGGGTTCAAGGGTGAGTTGTGGGTCGGGAGGCTTGTCAGCGTGGTGCATGATTAGACATTCATGGCCGATAGCCCCCCACCAAACACATGTTGGAGGTGTATTGGGTAGATTTTGAGACTTTGGGCCAGACTCCTATTTCCGTTATGACTCTTCCCGGACTTAGCATCTACTGCTTGGGGTTTTCAGCGCGGAGCGGAAGTTTCCAGATGCGCATTTTGCGGTCATGCCAGGGCAGATAGAGTTTTAATATATTTGCAGGAACTGCACTGAAGGCCTCAGTTCTTGTTCGGTCCGTAGCACTAACATGCCGCATCTGCTACCTTGTAAGGATGATTGCAAGCCTGGTGCCAACCTGCTAAGGAACTGGGTGGTTGGAAAGGACAGACGTCACCTTCTTGCCAAGCAGTTGTGCTGTCTGGGCCTGACTCATCACCATGGTTGGGATATGTTGAGATCGGCAATCGACTCAACTGAATTTTAGGAATACAAAAGATTGCTCCAGCAAAAGAAGTCGTCGACAGCGGGGAGTGTGGCGATGGCCGATCTACGATCGCTTGTATAATTGATGTTTGATAGGTCTCCCTGACTAGACCAGCGCTTTGCAAGGGACTTCTGGATTCTGAATTCATCTGCGACAAGGGTGCAAAACAATTTATGTATTGGGTTGACGCAGCCGGACTCTGCCTTGCTTCAAACGTAGCCATAGCCCGTGCCTTTGTACGCCTGCATCTGGGCGGTTCGTTCATGCTGTAGGTAAGTTTGTGTTCAGGCACCAACCGAGATTTGGATTAAACAGCGTTTTCAGGGTGAGTGCGCGTAGCAAGCTAAGAACGGCAAGGGTCACGTCCTTGACCCCTGTAACCGTGTAACCTTGAGACTGCACCAAACTTCCACCGGCAGGCCGGTGACGGATTTGGGTGTTCATCTCTAAGCGTGGATCGTTTGGGCATGAATCTACCGCAGACGACAGTTAAGACAGTTGTCATACTGTCCTTCATGCATAGGATGAACTCCAAGCCTAGCACTGAGAAACCCTAACCTGGCAGACACCACGGAGCTCTGAATAAGTGCTGAACCTTTTCGTTCTTCCTCAGGTATAGGAATGTAGATATAATGCCCTTAATCATCGAGCTTTCACATCCCATAACCCTGAACTATCTATTCGCCCCACGCGGATCTGCCATGTCACAGTCTAGGAATTCAGGGCTGGTTTGGTTCTGCCTTGTAAGATTGTTCGTCATAATCCTGCTGTATCCGGGATAGCCTGCTGCTGCCACAAAGCTTCGAACCTCAAATAAGCACCAATCCTCCCATAAACACATGCAAGATCCTCCGAGATCCGGAACATAAACCTAACGTCCATAAACCCTACTTTTACTAGGCCCTCAATCCCTCATCGCCTAGGCCCCTCAATCCACGTAGCTCTGCTGAGCCCTACGTGTTGCCGACTAAGTTCGCTGAGCACAAAACCCCTGAACCCTAAAGCCTAAGCCTTAAACATGAAGTAATTATGTGAACCCACAAAACCATCAATCTACACTTTTGCCTTGAACATCCCTAAGCCCCTCCAAGGCTCAGAGCTCCAAGTCTGTAAGTCTGGCAAGCTCTGCTGCCAGAAGCCCATCAATCTATCCTCAAAGCCTGAACCTCTTAATTCTCAAATCCTGTGAACCTTAAATCTCCCGAGAAATATACGATCAACATTCCGAAATGGGTAGGAGCGCATGGCTCGTCTGGTTGAGCAGCGTCGCGTGATCGTGGCGCAACAGAGGACGCTGACTGTTTTGGGCAAGTTGCATTTATTGCCTCAAATCATGCTCCCAATTTCCCCGATGAACAACTGCAATACCTCATGAGAACACATTTGCAGACACAGGGCAGGGTGTTGGGCCATCAGGTTAAAGGTTTAGGGGCTCAGGGTTTCCACCTAGTGTTTACGATCTTGGGTCTATGATCTATATTTTTTGGCGTCGAGTCCAGCTGGACGTCACATGTTTGGTGTTTTGGGGGTGGGCATTGAAGTGCTGTATATAGTATAGCACGGACCCAAAGCGGGACAATGATTTCGAATTATAAGATACACATGTACCAGCTTTATCGGATTGCTTGCTTTGTGCATTGTCCTCCTTATTTCCTGTCGGCCATGAAGCTATTTCTGGTGCTTTGTTAGTTAGCTAGAACAGCTAAGAGTTTTGGCAAGCTTCAGTCGGGAACTGTTCTCAACGAGCATGACCAGGGCTTGTCTTGCACTACAATCACTACAAAACGAGCTCATGCCAGAATTCAGAGAGAAGATGCAATATCTTGAACTCTGACTCTGAGACGTTTCCAATTGGTGCCCATGTTGGAATGGTTTGTTTGAAAAACGGACCCTGGGCCGGCATCCCGATGTTTTACCGAAAGCCCTTAAGCTGAAGTGCTGGCAAGGAAGGAGTGGGCCAAGAAGGCGAATGCCCACGCTGTGGACGAGGAGGGTGCTGAGGGGCCGGCAGCAGCCTCATTTGCCGACTTGAAAGTTTTTCAAAATTTTATAAGCATAGAATCCTTCATAGGAAGCTTCATGTTTCTTGTGTTATCCCTATGCCACCCGCATCTTGTCCTTTTCTCAAGATTTGAAGTAACTGCACTTTTCGATGCTGGTTGCGCGGCCGATCTTCGCAGACACATTGCATCTCGTGCTTGCTGGCTGCTGTTGAAATGAGCCACCATTGCATGTGCCTTGCACAACATTGTTCCTGCGGGAGAAGACTCCAGCTATGCGGTGTAAGCTAGCTAAGGCACACCTCGTGTAAGGGCGGATAATGTTTCGTGATTCAGAGTTCAGGAGATCATGTTTCAGATTGGTTTGGCCTGGAAAGCTTTTTTGCGGGGCTCAAATGGTTGAGGGTTGGGGCAGGTCTTTTGAGCAGACCTCGGACAGCACAAGTGACTCACAAGACGTCACAGCGGCACACTGATCCAGCAGGGCCGGCCATAGGGCCTAATTCCCCTTTTGGGGCTCCTTGCTTGGGAGTAGCGCCCCAACGCGTAAACCCCAAAGACCTAAGCCGTGTGAAGCCGGCACCGTCGCACAGGCAGCCGAGGTTGCATTGCCCGAGGACTGGAGTTGCCAACTTCCAGTTTGGGATCAGGGTTTGGGTGTCAGGGCTCTGTGAGTTTTTGCCCTTGGGTGTGTGCGGGTGGATGCAGCCTTCGGGAAGAAAACTTGATTCGTGAGCTACCCTCGGCCTGCTTCCCAGCAGTGAATCCGAGGGGGGCTGTAAGAGGGGCTTTGGAGAATCTGGCTTAAGCCTAGTGCAATCCGACGTGATTGGGGCCCCGAGGCCCTAGATGTTCTGTTTATGATTCCCATTAGCATTGCCTGGTTCTATGCAAGGTTGAAGTAACAGGGCCTTAGCAGCAGATGTAGTTCCCTGTCATGCTCGTTATATGTGCTACTTCGGGGCATTTATTCGTGGCCTGGGTTCACTTGACGCTCTAGATGAGCGAAGTCCTCTGTCTGTTGTGGATTTGAAGGCCGTTCAATTGATTGGGGGTTGACATGGCCGTGGGAGTGTGCTTTTTCCTGGAGACTTATGTTCAAACAGCACCCTCCTAGCTAGGATGCGAACACCAGGCCCCCGAATGTTTCTACAATCTTCTCCCATGGCAAGGCCAGGTTCCTTGCAACTACACCACGACACTGCTGCATATCCCAAGTCTGGTCCCATGCTTGTAGAATCCCCGCAAAAGTTCTTACAACACCATAACCTTACTATTTCATGAAGGAGTCCATGACATGGTTCCAGAGCATCAAGCGCTGCTTCCGGAAGTGCGGTGTCGGCGAGCAGCAGCTGACGACATTGATGTCAGGGTCTCAGCACACCAAGTTCAATGCAGGAGCCTCGCAAATTGTGACTGATTCTTGAGCAACACTCTGGCAATACATCCCCGGGATGAAAGTTTCGACATACGCAGGAGCACTTCTTGGTAGACTACAGGTATTGCGGAGAAGCGGAAAGAGTAAACGGGCTGTTTTGCATGGCCAGAGTGGCGGAGTAGGTAATTTCTGGGGAAGGAATTTAGCACAGGATTCTTGGGGGGAGAGGGGTTGCCATGGCCTGAAACGTGCCAACCTGACCCCGTGTGGCGAACTTTTGTCTTGCTGCAGTATGAGGGCCATACAGGGATAGTTGTTCTAATTGTTTTGCTATTTGCTCGGGCTTCTACATGGTACCCTCCCATCTTGGGGGGGGAATAGAGTTTAGGTTTAGGTTTTGGGACGTCTAGCTGGGTTTTGAAGCATTTAGACTCACGTCCTCTATATAGTGCACGTCAGAAGCTATTTACTAGTTGGGGCAGTGAGGGCTTGTTTGCGTGGGTAAAAGATAAACGGTGTAGGGATTGCGGAATTCATTTGGGGCATTCAGGGGTCAATCAGACTTGATATCTTTGTACTGTAGAGGGCCCATGCGCCTACGTGTATGAGGGCTTTCTACAGGAGGCTATGCGGTTGTTATGGTCGCTGTTCTAGGCGAGTGACATGCGAGATCCGCGCGATAGGTGTTTCGAAGTGGTTTACAGCTGCGTCTGAATCTAGCGTGGCTCCCTGGAAATTCTTCACTTAGCCGTCAACCTCCTAGTAAAAGTGAAGATGGGCGTCTGAAGGACTTGGACTGCATCACGCAATGTGGCTTGCTGTTTTCAACTTCTTACGCTCAAAGTATGTGGGTGCTTCCAGAACAGGGGTCCCACTTGAATACGGCAACCCTCAGTAGGGGGACCCACCAATTCCAAACCTTTACACTGTAATTCCCAAGCCGTAACCTATCCGAGATTATCAAAAGTGCGGACCCTTCTCACAAGAGTCTCTATGCCCCAGACTTAGCTGACCCTAGCTCAAAGCCAGTTTAGTCAATGCCTAGAATAAGGGGTTTGCACTACATGCTTTGATGGCTCGTTACACTCGTACAACTTGACCTGCTTCACTGCTTCAACTCGCTTCAGAATGGCACTCGAACGGCTCCCAGCTGTCCTTGTATTTGACTAGCATTTCTGCGTCAATGTGTCCGTCCTGTAATCAAAAGTCCTCAAACTTGGGTACCTACATGCGGCGATGCGTGCTTGGAGCCGTGCAATGAGGTTCAGGGGTAGTTGAAAAAGGGCTTCAACGTTTGGTCCACATTATTCGAAAAATTCCACATTTAATCAAGGACGACCCATGGCCCTGCAAGTAGGGTAACCGAGCAACCCCCAAGCGGTGCAGGTATGCTGTCCTCAACGTACTGGTCTTCCTCATTGGCTTCCTTTCCAACATGAAAGGTGGTTTCCACGAGTCCTGGGCCTATCCTATTGCCAAGGCTGCCAGAGGGCAAGTTGATGTTGGCGCATTGGCTTCAGGATCAGCCGTTTTGCAGTTCAAGCTAAGGCTTTAGGAAGGCTTGTTTCATGGTCAAGTTTTGGGAATGATGGTTTCGGCATTGAATCGTGCAGATTTGGAGATCGCAGGCCAGTGCCATTGAGACACAAGTCCGTTGTACGTGGTAGGCTAGCTGTTGCTGGCGCATGAGTTGTTTGTTTAGGAATTGAGTTTCATGAGGGTTGCTGGTGTGGTTCTGATGGTTAGAGGGCCGAGGGCCTTCCACGAGGCCTCGTCTGAGTATTCTGTTGAAGTCAATTTCCGACTGGCCATAGAGAGTGCTGGCCCATTTTCATGTATGATTGGCGTGGTATGTGGTAATTTCCAAAATTAGAGGCCCTCTTTTTGGGAGGGTCCTATAGTAAGGATACAGTAACTTAAGGATACAAATATGTGCGGCCCCTGTTCTTGGAAATCCCACATGTGTATATGTGCTCAAATCAAGGTCCTCTTTGCTGGCCAAGATTCCATTTGGATCACAGTGTGAGCTCCAGACAACAAACAATGCTAGTTCAGTTTGTGTAGTCCGCAAAATAAGGACTACAGTTTTGGGGGACAGAAAAGAGGGACCCCGATTTCTGAAATAACTGCCAGGTCAACTGATCAACCAGTCATGATTTCTTGTCTAAGACCTAAGTCCTTTGATCGTTGAACCCTTCAACCCTTCCTCTCAGCCCCAAAGCATTGTATGGCAGGGAGGGGGTTACAGCATGGATCTCAACTTTGCCATGCTCATCCTCCCAACTCTGCGTCTGGGCATTGTTAGATATGGAACCCCTTTACGACCGGGCTGAAACATACAGGTTGCTGTCCTGCAGGCAGTAGGAGTGGAACACATTGGGGCTCCCATAAAATTAGGCGGTTGTGACTTGTTATATCATCCATCTCAGTCACCGCAAGTACCAAGAAATTAAGACAGTAAGAGCACATGGGGCATGTCTGCAGAAGATGTCGTGAAACATGTGGTCATTTATGTTCAGCTTTTTGGTGACTTGTGTTTTCAGGTCGCAGGTGTAGGTCCAAGTTGAAGTAGTGTTCCGGGGATGAATGGGAAACCTTCCAGCCAGAAGCAGGAAGGACGAGGTGATCTCTATCCCGCAGAAACATGCAAGCGCATTTCCAAAGCTATAAAACAGTGGTCGTCTATTAATAGCCCTCTTGCGTGGCCTAAGGAAGGCTACGACTCTTTCCGGTGTGGAATTCCTGTTAGGGTGTTTTGCATGTTGAGAGGCCAGTGACCCTAAAGCTATACGAGCCGACACAATCCCTACGAGCCGCATAAAATGAAACTGACTTCAAGATCAACACATACTGGCTGAGGGCTTTTTCTGATCTTGGGCATGCCGAATTGGCCCTGAAAGCCAAGCCTGAGGTCGGATTAGATTCCGCGCACAATACTGTAAGCAGCCGGAAGCCTCACGCCTCCTGGAGCTAGTGTCCAATCTTTTGATACAGACGCTCACAGGCCCGGTTGAATTCGCCAGTCATCCCTACATGTAGGGCCTTCTATGCTCCCTGAATCCATATAAGCCCCATACTCGACACCGTGCAGCAACGCTGGGTGCATTTCAGTAAGTTAATGATGAGGCGCCTGAGTGCATACTTTGCATTCCCCACTTCCTCTGGAATAGTCCCCTGCCTGGCTCGCCCCTCATACCTATCCAAAAGTGGCTTCCCTAGACGGCCTATTATGTTACCTGTTTCCCTGGGTGAGAGATTACTCTAGGTGAGCCTTGGGGCTCGAGTTGCTGGCACAGTGCGCGCCAAATCTTCCTAAGAAGCCTTGCTGAAGCCAGCCACATACTCGTGCATGGTGCCTACATGATCCTTTTCAATCAAGAGATCTAAAGGCCAGCCTGACAGTCTGGTAGCCTTGCATGGTTGATGCACAGGAAGAGCCTGCAGACCACCATGAGGCTGGAAGATCGGGCGTTGCCCCCATCCCAATATGACGAGAATCGCTTTCGTCGGGCACGTCGGGAATCTCATTCACTGAGATACAAACCTAAGTCAAGTCTCCGCAAATGGATTATATAGAAGCAGGGGGTTTATGATGCAATGTCTTGCAGTAAAGGGCCTGTGGTCTCCGTCCTCTGGCCGGAAACGAAAGGATCTTCCCCAGCATGAAAAATTTCCATACGGCTTAGGGTAAATCTAGCGCCATGCTCTGAAACCCATCCGCCGCTAGGTCACCAACCCCGATAGCCTAAACTCCGGACGCCCAGCATGGAGCACCCCCGCACAAGAAATACCCGCTAACGCTGAACCCAGCATAGGCCCCTTTCGAAAGCAAAATCTTAATAGGGATTCTTTGCGGATTACATCTTAGCTTTGGATATCGATTTGTTATAGTGCCCTGCAACTGTACTGGAATCCAGCCCGCATATGGGTTTCATCACTATAAGTTTCTCATCATTCCAAGCTTGCATACCCTAAACCTTGAGCAGAGAGACCCTGGTCAAGTGAGATGGGATGTAGGTACAACGGATTCGAATGCAGATGTGGGGTTGGAGGATGAGGTGTGATCCGGTACGCACAAGCACAGAAGATTGAAACCTGCCGCTTTGGCTGACACCCAGCGGATTGCAAAGTGGAGTGCCTTCTCATTGGGCAGTTTGAAACATTAGGGCCAGGAATCACTGCTTCAAACTCCTGAGCCTGTACCCATGCAGCTTCCACCGAACCTCAACTCAGGATAGCGGCCCCACTCAAAAACTGTTGGATAGGCATTCCATCTTCAGATATGTGAAGCCCTCATGTAGCCAAAGTAAAGTCTGCTGCTCGGCAATCGCCTATTCATGCTAAGCACCACCCTCAAGCCTTCAACCCCAAAAATTGTCCACGCGCGAAAAGGCGTGTAAGCTCATCGCGCGAGTGGGTCCCAATCGACGCACCTTGGATTTTCGAAAGGTGCGTCCCCATGCGAGTCTCGCTTCTCCCCATCTTGCAAAATGGCCAAAGGGGTTCGATAAGCATGATTCCGGAATCAAATATGATTATTTGAGCGTTCATTTAATTACCAAATTGCTGGAACGTGGAGATACGAAGTATCGGATGGACCTTGCGTAGAACGGCATACGGCAGCTTCTTCTAGATGACCTTTGTCCTTGTTGCAGTACAAAAGCAACGGGCTCCTCCTGCGGCCCCATTCAGGATGTTTGTGTGCTTTGGGTCAAGTGTCGAGAATGGAGGAATGGATCCCAAGAGTAGCCCCTCTAGAAGCCCATAGATAGTAAAACAGAAGACTTTTCATTTCCTTTTCCATTCATTTATAGCAAGCTAAAACGCTATATCAGCTCCGCAATTGTGGGCATCTTTCATCCCGATGAGGATCAACTATCCTTCACGTAGGCCGTGTCTTCTGGTCTATGGGATTTGATATTGCTCTAGGGCCTAGGTGTAGTTTTAGTGCTCCGAGATGAGTGATGATAAGCGTAGCGGTGGAGGGAGGGGCCCTAGAGAAACCAGCAGAAGGCTTGGATGGAAGCAAACTACGGTGTCGCGGCTAGAATTTTGAAATCCTTGGCTGGAGTTCAGGATATGAAGGTCCGCGCAACTCCTGTTCTCTGGCTTGAACAATGTAGGGCGATGTCCATGCTGGAATGACCCTGCAAACCCAAGCCCCAGACTTGAAATTGAACTCCATACAACCAGCCGCGCACGATAGTTGTAAACAAGACGAAGGATCCCATCAACTTCCACATTGTCATTGCCAGCTATACCATGCATCTTGGCTACAGAGCATGCGCATATCCCGTTTAACGGATTGGGGTGTCGCAAGCAGGCTAGACGGCCCGAAAGCAGACAAATCTGTAGTTGTGCTCCTTGTAGCTGTCCTACGGTGTGGGAACAACTGAGTTTGCAGGCCCTGGTTTCGGGCCGGTCTCGGCAGGGAGGTTCACAATTGAAACAGTATAGCCGAATCTAGGGATCCCAAAAGGTTGCCAGAATTTCGCCAAGTAGTTGCACAGCAAAATGCGTCAACTGCTTGCTCAATCCGCACAAGACTCCGAACAGTCCCTGCGTTGCATGTTACCAGCGTGTGTTCTAGCTTGAACTCCTTTAGTTTCGTATTGGGTGTTGCTGCCGCTGGGTGTGCTAGGTACTGGGTCTACTTTCTGCGGTAGTGTTCAGAAACGAGGATACCCCTATAGGACGCCAGGCACATTGGGGAGTTATACAAAAAGGGGGCAACCAAGCTCAAAAGAGCAAGTTGCATGCCTGCAAGACACAATTCAATCAGGGCAACGCAGAAAAGACCGCCCTTATCAGGTCAAGCTTCATCTTAAATTCGAAGCAGGATGCCAAGGGTGTTTTGGGGCATCCCAGCTTAGATTGTCAGGCCTCTGCGTTGAATGCCTGAGCCCTTCAGGCCCAAACCCTCTAACACTTTCCTCAGAATCGCAACTCCAGACGGAGGCTCCTCACCAGGATTCACCAGGGGTACTGTAGGAAGTTCAAGTGGATGGCTTCTCGCATGGCTAACCGCGCTTCATGGCGTCCGTTTCTACCCTGAAAACACAAAACCCCCCGTTGGGTCTGTGCAAGACCTATAGACCCCGAACCCCAAGCGATGCTCGAGGGTATCCGCAACAATGGTGCTCGTCGTGTGTTTCCTATTTTCCTCTGGCGCCCTGGAAAGTGATCATCTCCACCTTCTGTGCCTGCCGCATCAAAAGTAGATAAAAGTAGCTATTCCGTGATCCAAAGTCCGTAGCGCAGTCACGAAAACAAATCCCAAGGATACCACTGTTACAACTGTATTCCTCTCAGATTCGAGTTCTGCAAGCTCAGTTGTTCAAGGAGACTCTCGGATCATCCCACTATACTTGCATATACCACGGAGTATCCCTGGCCAAGGGGCCAGGACTGCTTTCAGCCAATCAAAGCCGCAAAGCCCCCTACATGAACTATGAAATTGTTGACCTCTGTGTTTCAGGCTTGGAGCGGCCATCCATATTGCGGGGCACTGCGCCACTTGCCGTAAACCCCAACATGAACATCCCATTTCTACTT